TCTTGTGGTCAATCATGACCCCCAAGTCAAGGAAAGTCTGTTCTTAGAGAAACAGGGGTACAGCTGTGCATGAAGCATTAGCTTCATTAAAAGAAGGCCACACTATGGACAGGCCAGTTGTGGAACAGGGAAAGGATTTAGCAAGCATGCATTTGTGTGAACTTGATCTCCCTACTGCCCCGCACAACTGGTGCAGAGGTGCTGTGACTGCAGTTCTGTTCTGTTAAGTTGAATAGCCTGGACATCTGATAGAGGTTGTGGAGGTAACTGGCAACCAATATGGCACTGGGTAATGAAGGAGAATTTAGTCAATGCACCACACGACACCACAGCTTTGATGTAAATTGGGGGCTTGGCCCCCCTCACATATGGATCAAGGATAGTAAGTTGCAAGAGTGTCTTAAAAAATTACTTTTGCTCTTTTACCCAAGTTGCATTGTAGGTTCCTTGACACAGATCAAGCCCTTTTATTTCAGTGGGAGCTGTAAAGAAGGATAATGGGATTTGTCATCATAAACTAGAATGAGTTTGTCTGTCTTCAAAAGAATATTGTGCAGGAATGGGCAAATAGGCTCAGTACTAGTTCCACAGTGTGATCAGGCTGGTTCAAAATTAGAAAGACAAATTTTAAGACTTTCTAAAAAGTAATGATTATTACCTTAAACACTCAGTATCAGTCTGAGGTTTTTCACCAACTTTGATTCTTTCTGCTTCTAAACATCTTGTGATACCTTCAGCTTCTCTGACTTGTTCTTCAACATCTAAACATAAAGTGAGAGTGTTTTTACCAAGATATGGTAAATATCTCTGTTCAGATGCAGCCTACCTTTCTTACTCACAAGTTATTAAAGGGTAAACTGCTATGGAAATGAAAATATTACAGTACATACAATTAAAATGCAAATATTTGTATTTGTAACTGGCATGTAATTGCAACATTTCAGGCAATTGCAGAGTCTACAGGATGGTTGTAATAGCTGTATGCTACACTATTTAACCTTATAAAGAAAAACTTATGGCCTAACTTTTTCATCGCTCAACTGTTGTAATATATACTATTTACAATAGTAAATGAACAATCTGGTTAGTTATATCACTTTTAAAAGATTTTTATACAGTTGATGAAAGTAAAATATTTGTATTCTGTAAATAATGTAATATAATGTTCTTTAAGTTGCATATTAGAACTGGTACTCCATCTCCGTCCTCCTTGACCAAGTTTGACACTGTTGACAATGGTAATTGTTTTTGAAAATTTTTGTTCTCTTGGCTTCCATGATACCGTCCTTGTCTAGGTTTTACCTTTCTCCCTCTTATCTTCAGCTGCCTACTTCTGTCCAAACTGTAATTGTGATCTGTCTTTCTGCCCTGTGCTCATGAATGTTTTGTCAGCATTGATTCAAGATGTTTAAAGTCAAGCTCTTAATCGTTACTGTTTCATTCTCTGTTTTACCTTCTTCCTCAATCACTGTGAATGCTATCACCATCCAGTCTGTTGTTTCAGACCCAAAACTTGGGCATCATCTTTGACTAAGAGCTTTTCCTAGTATTCCCCTACAAGCTCCAAGTCTTGCCAGTTCTTTCTCCGTAACACATCTCTCCTATCCAGCCACACAGCTCATTAATTATTTCACTTCTTTATCATTGTAATTATTCTTTTCTCTTTGATAGCTGTAATATTGCCTCACTTATATCAGTTCAGAAAGCTGCTGTGAAGATTTTTCTCTTAGTCCAGTGATTCTCCATCATGGCTTTGTGGCATCCGGAGGCGCTTTGAGATCCTTTCAAGGGTGCCACACGAGGTAAACCTAGAGATCTCACCTAGGAATCTGTAATGTTAAAAACTTTCTGACCAGTTGCGATCCTTCTGAGTCTTGTTCAACAGAAGAATTACTCTATTATTTTTCTGTCATCAAAAAGCAAGTGAGAACTGTAAGTCGGCATTTTCTGAGAGGTTCTTGAAGTCTATCAAGGGGTGCCCTGAGACTAAAAAGGTTGAGACCCATGGTCCTAGTCTATCACTTTGGCCATGCCTCCCCTTTTGCATCCCTCTTTTGGTTCCCGCTTGTTTGTTGCATCACCATAAGCTACTTCTCCTGGCTTTCAAGGTCCTTCATGAATTATCATCCTCATTCATCTTCTAATTGGCCCGTGATAGCCTCCATTTCTTAGTTGTTCAATTTTCAGACCAGCACCCTCAGTGTTTTATTGCTTGTTAAATGTTGTAGATAAATATTTGGTATGGAGTACTTGGAGGATTTACTTTGATTACAGATTCCTAATGGGCTTTTTGAAAGAATGTATCGGTTGATTTTAATTTTGATGTGCTAAGTTTTAAATGTATATATTTATTTTATCTGCAAAAGTAGGAGTTCATTTTTCATATTTATGGGAATAAAATTCAGAAAATCCTCTATACGCTCTGTATCAGTGACAGAAGTATAAATCTCATCACAACTCAGTATTCGTTGTAGCCATATTTTAAAATGACTAATTAGGCTATAAAACAAGAATACAAAAATCTTACTTCTGTGACTTACTCTAATCTGTTGAGAAAAATAACCTGACAGAAATCATTTGTCAAATGTATTTATCAAACCAAAAATAATTATCATAACAAGTGATTATCAAACACATGAATACCTTTGAGTTTGCTTTGAAGAGTAAATAAATCCTGCTTTAATTCATTCTTCTGCAGCTGGAGTGCATTTAACTGAACATTTTTATGTTCCACTGACTCCATTTCTAAGAGGAAATAATTATATTTTAAATTAAAATGTATTACAGTTTTAATCTTCATGATGTAATCTTAAATACTCTTTAACTATTTCTAACTGCCTTCAGATATTTGAAAAGGACATTAAGAATAAAATTACAATTAGTCTTATAGAACCCAATTTACAAGAAATTACATATGATATTATGTATTCATTAGTTTTAAAAGAAACTTATTTTTAGCATTCATAAAATAAGCCACAGTTTGTTGATTGAATAAAAATTAGTTTCGTATATTTTATTTTGAAGCGTTACTCGTATTATTTAGGAGGATGACCTGCGCACTTAAATTGGACAAATGCTTTTTCAGAGGCCTAACCATGCCAGTGTAAGGATTTGTAGTTAGTGTCATGAATGTTTAAGGCATATATTTTGATGACACTCAGTAAGGAATATAATATTCCTGAATTATTATTTCTACTTGCATATTACTGCTTTTGTTGCTGACAGTGTAATTGGTGCTAGACGCAATGTAGTTTAAAAAGCACAGTCACACACGTGGCAAGGCATAGTACTAGACTAGGCTAGACTTAGAGGAAAGTGTTAAATAAAAATAGGTTCTCTGTTTTTTGGGGGGAAAATGTCCTCGCTGATTTCTGTTAATCACTAGATACAATAGCTGCCAACTAGCAGAGACAGCATTCTCCTAATTAGCTATGTCAAAGCTGGAGTCACTTTGATCAAAAGTTGAAGAAGCAAGAAGTGGAAACTAAAATGGACAGCCCTATTACTGTGATCTGTAAACAGCAGTCAGGAAATACGAGGGTCGGTTGTATGATGAATGAAGTTTTTTAAGTTGGGTTATCCTCAGAGATTCATTTTTTACTGTTTTGACCATTAATGTTGCCAGACCACTGGATTTAATTGCCATGAATGTGAGCCATCTTTTGCTGGGAAAATGAGAACTGAATCTGTTCAAGTAGCCCTTGTTTTAATACATAAGAAAGGAGAGATATGGGTTATGTGCATGTTCCTGTATGCCATGAAAATTAACTGCCCAGTCAGCAAGAAGACACAAAAGGAAAGAGGTGGTTAGAGTATCTGCTATTATAAATTATATGTTTTAACAAGGTCATATGATCCTTTTCAATCTCACTGTAAGAGACTAGGCCTACAACGTTTTTGTACGTTTAATTCCTGTGGAAGTTAGAAGGATTTGTAAGATCTTGGTTTGTATGGCAGTCCAAGGGGGTACCCCTTTATGACTCTTTCTGGCTGCAACATCACAGGTGGCAATTCAGGACAGGAGGTAGGTTGTACAGACCTGTTGCTGTCAAAATAGCACTATGGACAGGAAAGGGCTGAATGGGGTGGGAAATGGGAGGATCTTTGACTCTATCCTTTAATGTGCTGGCCAATACAAGTACTCTGAGACATGGCTGAATCAGAATCTCCCTCCTGGGCTGCTGCAAGGCAGATCATTGTCTCACAGTCTAGCCCAAGGGTAGGTGGACACATGTTTGGGATGGAGGCCACTGGAGGGGTTTTGGTGAGTTGTTGGGGGCAGGGGAACTGTTGACTTGGCCTGGGGTGGAGGGAAGCAACTGATCCTATATGGCCCTGGGTCCCTCCGCCCCACACCCACCACTGGGGGTCCTGGATGAAGTGGGTGGGCAGGGTCTCCTGGGACCCCTGTGGGCAGGGCACATTAGCCAGGCAGATGGGATGGGGCTGTGACAACGTGGGACTAGGGCCCCAGGGAAGAGTTACAACTTGATGACATACCATCTTTCAAAATATTTTCTTCGTTTTCCAAATCATTCATTTCAGTCTTGACCTTTTTTTTAATCAAAATGTCTCTGTTACTTGTTAATCCATACTCATTGTTGAACTCTGTTATTTCCGTAATAAAATTCCTCTCTTCTTCGGTCATTTTTCTCTTTGTATCAGTCTAAAAACAAAAAATGATTTAACATAAAGAGAAAAGGCAGAATTTTTATTGAAATAATCAGTCTGAAATTTAAAAAAAACTTATTTCCTTAAAATGAATAAGCTCCCTTCAGTGGTGGTGTAGTCACCTACCCTGGAAATCTTCAAAAGGAGACTGGACAGTCACCTTGCTGGGGTCACTTGACCCCAGTTGTCTTTTACTGCCTAGTGCAGTGGGGCTAGACCCAATGATCTACCAGGTCCCTTCCAGCCCCTAATGATCTATGAATCCATGAATAAAAAACCAGCATGCATTCTGTTTTTCTGACCTGTACAAACAGGAAAATGGTCTCTATCTCCATCATTCTTGCTTTTGCATAAACCCTACCATTTGGTTTTGTGACAAAATAAGAAACACATTCTTTATATACAAGCAGTGCTACAAGCCCTATTATGCCAACAATTTGTACAAAGAGCTCTGTATTGAAATCAATAGGGAGTTCTGCTTAAAAATCAATGGCACAATGTGGCCATTCTTTCATTTTTTTTTTAAATTACTCATTAAGGGTGAAACTTTTTGCAGAAAGCCAGGAAAAGGCCAGTGGCCTACCTAACTTCCAAAAGACAGTCCAAGAAAGCAGGCCCTTGCGCAAGCCAGTGGAAGATGAGTTCTCTCAGCACCTTCTGAAATTGGTTTTAAAGAAAAACTATTCCATTTATAGAAAAACTCATCCATAAAGTCATTGGAAAATTAAATCAATTCAAAACACTTAATACTAAATTAAACAAAATTGATTTACCTCTAAAACAAGATAACTTCTGTATCAAACCTGGATGGGCCAAATAGATCGCAAATTCACATTCCATCAAGAGACAGCAATTTTGCTTTTACAGCTAAAAAAGATTACCGTGATATTATGGTATTTCCTATTCTCTCTCCTTCACTGAATATAAGGAATACCTGGGATGCTACACTACTCATAAAGGCAAGTGTGAAAATATTTTAAGTGTAGGCACTGTGAATTTTTTTTAATGTTCCAAATGAAATGCCACGTTTAAAAAAAATAAGGGG